TAAATAACGCTATTACGAAAAGGTCGTTATTCGTACCACTTATAATTAATAGCAACCGGAAATTCGTAAAAGTAAAGCGGTAAAAAATAAGGGGTTAAAAGCTTTAAAAGCGTAAAAACGTAAAAATTAAAAAAGTAAAATTTAATAAAGGTTTTTAGCAACGTTCGGAATTAACAACAAAATTTGCTTTGGCAAAAAAAACTTTGTTAAAGGAAATTTTAAAAGCGTAAAAATCTTTCCGTAAAAAAATCGCGGAAAAAAAAAGGAGGATAAATGCGCTTGGAAAAGCGCGTTTAGGAACGATTTAATAAAAGTAATAAAAAAGGAATAAATCCGTATTGCTAAGCCTTTTACTTTACGTTAAAGGGTTTAAAAGTTGCCGGGCTTATAATTGTTGCAAGCAAAAGGGATAAGCACGGTATAAGGCTATTCCGGTTAATATGCTTTAAAAAAAAAGGATTTAAAGTGCAAGGTCCCGTAAAGGCCTTTGCCCTTTATATACACGTAACTCCCTGTCCTCCTTGCTTACTAAGCTTCCCTCTTAACGCCTGGAAGCGTCATACGCTTCCAGGCAGGGGGACCGCTCTTCCGATGCCTCAGGCATCTGATATTTATGCTTAAGGCTTCCTCATGACAGTATATACTGTCTACTTTGTAACATTTGTTTTAACAGGTGTTCTTGTAATCCCGTCTTCCCGGTTGTTATTGGCTGAGGCACTGTCTGTTGTCAGTGAAATTGGGCTGGCTTGGTCTGCTAAGCCAAATAAAGTAGCGGCGTAATATTTCTGTACGACCCCTCATTGGAAAAGGGCCAATGCCAACGATATCATAGCTTGAACATGTATGGCGCCAAAATCTTGTTGATTGGTGCCCAAAATCCAAATCCGCTATCAGCCCCAACTCCCTAGAACCTCGTTTTCGAAGAATTTCGCAGCCGTCAAACCAATCCAAGCTATCAATAGGCGCTTGAGATTCCAGTATGGCATTCGAAGGTTCCACCAGTTCAGCTGGAAATCCATACCTCCAAGGCCTGGCTGATAGGCTCAAAAAGCAGTCTATCGCCTCCAACGACGCCGTTGACCCCTTCGGTTTTCGGCCTTGGGGCCCTGGGAAGCCCGAGCGACAAGACCGCCAGGACCTTCCTTTGTTCAACCTCAAGTCAGTCTCCCACGCTCTGTCTCGGGGATGGAATCCCAATATTTCCTGGACCGAAGATGAGCTGGTCTTCCCGATCCCCGGCGTGGGCCCCATGTCGTCCGCCTACGACCCTTGGTACACCTTCAACACGCCTCTCCATCGCGCACTCTGGCTCCAGCAGTTCGACGTGGCCGAGTGCCTGGTGCGCCACGGCGCCGACATCAATCGGCTCAATGCCCGAGGCTACACGGTGCTCCACGAGGCTCTCGATCTTGGGATCGACAGGCGCAACGACTGGTCACGCGACGTCTCCTGGATTGTCAAACACGGGGCCGACCTGGGTAGGAAGACCGAGGCGCGCTTCGTGCGGACCGGGAAGAATGAACACAGGGTGCTCGGACAAGATAAAAAGTCACGCGCGGTCCACGCCTTGCTGTCGGGAATGCATCAAGAGCCGGAGCCGGAGCCGGAGTTTGGAAAACACCGAGATGCCCGCGCAGAGCGCAGAGAGCCGAGTGGGCTGTCGCCGTTGATGCTGGCCATGGAGCTCGCAGATGTGCAAAAGGTCCAAACACTCCTCGACGCCGGTGCCGATGTCGAGCTGCCCGTCGATGCCGGCGCGAAATGGAAAATCCTCGACCTTGCTTTGATGAGTCGCCAGCTTTCGCTTATACAGATCCTCGAGCAAGCCGGTGCATCATTCTCGGTTGACATCACCGAGAGCACGCCTATGGACACCGAGGATGAGGTTCGGCTTCACCAGGGGGCACGGAATCTCGTATCATTTTGCCTGTCCGGTTCCAACCGAGGCCTGGTTCCTGCCCCGGAGTGTGAAGAGGTCTTCCGCTATGTTCTCCAGGGCAGCGAGTTCAGGAAAGTCTGGGACTTCCGGGGCGGGGTCGAAGAACTGCTCAAATACGGAGACATCGTCGACGCCTTCTTCGGTACCCTCTCTCGCATCGCGCAGACCCGGAATCTTCAGGCCGTTCCGGCGACGTACTGTACTCTTTGCAGGAACACAATTGCAAAATGCTCAGTGCTGCCGTCAACGGGTACTGTCGGTAGTGCCCGCGGCCCCTTTGAGCACACGCCGAGTCTGCGAGAGCTGGAACACTCGGTTTCTATAAGCAACTGTCCGTTCTGCCGCCTATTACTCGACGCAGTCAATCGCCCCCAGAAACAGAGCAAAAAAGGGGTACAGTCTGAAGGCGGCAAGGAACAAGGTGGGTTGCCAGTCAGAGTGAGCCTGGTCCAGGAATATTTTGTCGGACAATTTGCTTTACGGGTCGAGTGTGGAAGCCTCAGCTCTGATCTGGAGATTAGTCCCTTGGAGGGTAAGTCACTGCTACGAATTTGTTTGCATCGATCCCTAAATGTCTCGCTGATACAGTCCAGAGGAGTTCATGTATAATGTAGCCGATCACCAAAGCGGTATTGACGAGAGCGGAACCGCCTCCCGGCAAGCAACGGGCTTGGGCAAGGCTTGGCTGGCAACTTGTAAAAAGAACCATCCGAAATGCCGGCGATCTCAAGACGTCGCGAACCCAATCCTTCCCACTCGTGTCCTAGACCTGACCCATGGCACCGAAGAAGATCCGGCCGTGTGCCTCGTGGAAACGCACGGGGCGAGGGATGTCTATTGCGCCTTGTCGTACTGCTGGGGCACAACCAAGGCAACGACGACGGTCAAAGACAACCTCGAACAGCACCTTGAGAACATATCCATGGAGTCTTTGCCGTCAACAATCCAGGATTCCATTACCGCCGCCAGGAACCTGGGCTTCCGCTACCTGTGGATCGACGCCTTGTGCATCGTGCAGGACGACGCCGACGACTGGGAAGCCGAGGCCGCCAAGATGAGCAGCGTCTACTCGAACGCCACCCTCACCATCTCGACCCTCTTCGGCTCGGACTGCGGCGACAAGCTTTTCGTCCGTCGAGACACCATCCAGCCACAGCCCCTCCCGTTCCCCATCCCGGCGCCGTATTTCTTGAGCAAGCCACGGCCACTGCTTGCCGTCCAGCCACGGACCACCACGGCGGCCGACGGGCGGTCCGCGAGCAGCTTCAGGGGGCCGATCCACTCTCGGGGGTGGACGCTGCAGGAGCAGATGCTCAGCACCCGCATCCTCTGGTTCGGCAGCGAGCACCTGCAGTGGGAATGCGTCTCGCTCCGGGCGACGGAGCCGGAGCCGAACAGCTGGTTCATGCGCGACGGCGCGCTCGAGACGCAATTCATAGAGGACGGCAACATCGAGGAGCGGAACCTGGAGCTGCGGATGAAGGAGATCGTGCACCGGCCGCTCAGGACGGACGGGGCGGCCGCGCGCCGCCGCCCGGAAGACGATGCCCGGGAGATGTATCTGGAGTGGGAAAACGTCGTGGCCGAGTACACGAAACGGGATCTCACCAAGGAGTCGGACCGGATCGCGGCCGTGCTCGGTCTTGCCGACATGATGGGGCCTATCTTTCGGTGCGACTTTGTCGCGGGGGTGTGGAAGGGCGACTACTTCCTGCGGAGTCTCGCGTGGCGAGTAGTTAAGGCGCCTGCCTCAACAACGGCCACGACAGCCTCCTCTTGCTATCCCTCATGGACGTGGGCTGCGATGCCGAAGCGCGCCGTCGACTACGCCCTCGTGCGTGACCACACCGAGCGCCGCCTAGAACCACTGGCCCGGCTCGTCTCCATGGCGGACGTGTCGGTCAGCGGCAAGGCCCAGGGCCGCGCGACCGGCTCCGTCGTGATCCGGGGTCCGCTACAAAAGGTGAACGCCGTAGACCAGCAGAGCTTGCTGAGGCTCGCGGCCCAGGACACGCGGGCTCCGGACTACGACTACCACCTGGACGCAGGCGGCGCAATGCCGGCGGCGGACGCCTCGCTACGGCCAACCTGGCACCTGGACCTTTTCAGGTTCGAGCACGGCAGCCCTTGGCGCGGCTACGGTTTCGACTGGTGGCGTCGCAACGGTCGTCCCGGCTCGACCATCAGACTGATCCTGGAGGCGGTGGACCACCAGGAGCAGGATCCGCAGGTATTTCGAAGGGTTGGGATCGCGAGGTTTTATTGGAAAACCAAGCCGGACGTCGCTGTACGGGATGTTAGGATTGTGTGATTTGCCACCAAGGGTGCTTTCTCGGGGCCGGGACCGTCCAGGCCGGAAAGCGCTCAAGGAAGGAAGGGCACGACCCTAGGACGGGAATGGCCGGATGTCAGCTTACAGATGCGAAGGTACTCACTCAATAGTGCCGTGTGGATTGATCGAGAACATCCCGGGTGGCAAAATGCAAAGGGGCAAAGTCGGTGCACAGACAAAATCTCTGTGTATATCTACGAGAACAGCAATCCCCTTGAAGAAAAGGAGAAAGGAATACAGAACAATCTTTTTGGTGCGGAAAAAGTCTGACACCTCGCGGCCTACTGCCGCTCATGCAAATCCCTCATCAGCACAGCAATCGGCTCAAGGGAGTCGGCACGTTATTCCCGACGCCTCCCTGCACATCGTAGTGCTTCAGCAGCCCCGTGGCCCTCTTGAACTTCTCGGCCGGCTGCGCGTACGGAAGGCCTCCCATTTTGCTGCTGAGCCTCTCCAGGGCCGTTTGCATGGACGCGGAGTGCCGATGGACGAAACAGCGGAGGGGAGTATGGTTTCCTCGGCCCCCAGCTTTTTTTGCTTTTTTTGTTTCCTGCGTGTACCAGGCGCCGGTCTTCATGCAGTGGATGAGGAGGGCGGCCAGGCCCGCGGCGAGCGCCGTCGCAATCGAGGAGCCGGTCCTGCCCTGCTGGGTGAGGAGGTTCGCGGTTATGTTGGTGGGAGGGGTGAAGTCGCCCCAGACGTCCTTGATGTCGACGCCAGGGATGAAGAAGTGGAGGGTTTGCGGGTTCGTTACCGTGGGCCAGGGGTGGCCCTCTTTTGTGGCCGCCCCGATGCGGAAGATCTCCTGGGGGTAGCAGGCCCCGGGGTAGGTGTCTGTCTTGGTATCGTTGTTGCCTTCGTCTTTTGCCGAGCAAAACATGAGGGGTATCCGCTTGCCCAGACTTTGCATGTCGTGCACGGCGTTTCTCAGCTGCTCGGCTGATCGTCCACGACATGGAGATGATGTCGACGCCGGACTCTATGGCGGCTTTGATGGCCTGGCGGGCGGAGAAGAAAAAAACAACATTAGACCAGTACACTTTCGTGTTATAGGGTTCCATAAACTTACTGCGGCTGCGCTCTTGGGCTCTGGAATAGGAATAGAGTTTTCAGGATCAGGGGTTAACTGCAGAGCGACCTGGCGGCTTTTCAAGAAGTCCTGCACCGTTCGGTGCAAGTAAGTCACCCTTCGCATCCATGGCAGACTGGATGTCGAGTTCTCGACTTTCTGTCTTGGCTTGGCTGTCTCTGCTGTGCACTCTCGGGTTCGTCGTTTAACAACTCGCCCTCGGCGGTGGGCTCATCGTACTCGACACGGGGCACCTCCAGAAGCCCCTTGCAGCAGCTGTTGAGCTGCTTCTTTGCCAGTTCCATCCTGTCGCCGATCTCTGCTCCCGAGAGGGGAGCAATTGGTAGGTGCAGTGCGTTCGTGGGCGAAGTGTCCTCGTCCTCGTCCTCATCTGCGAACGACAGGCCCAGCACAGTCAGGTGCCCATCCGCAACGCCCACAAGGCGAAAGAGCTGGTACGCGTGCTCCTGATAGAAGTTGTCGCTCATGATGCTGTCGAATATCTTCTGGTAGAAGTCTTCTAGGCTCGGCGGAAGTTCTTCCAGCCGCCGCTGAAGATCTCTTATCCTGTCCCGATTCGTAAGGCCGTTAAGCAAAGATCGCACGACCAGCGTCACCCATAGGAAGACGCCTGAGGACTTCTTCGCAATGTTTTCAATTTGGGTGTCGGGGAACGCGGGCTCTCGCCGCCTGAGAGCCACGAAACCCGAGCTGCTCTGGAAGCTCGAGTCTACGAAGCCGACGATGTTGGGGCAGGTCATGACCTCGAGCCGAAGGCTTGGTCTATGCATAAAGGCCTCCTCGAAAACGGCCCATGGGCGGCTGGCCAGGCACGCCTTCACGTTGGTGAATGATATGGCCAGCTTAAAGAGCTCGATAAGCTCCCAATGGTCGCCATCGAACTCGTCGAGTCCATCCACGAATAGACAAACCCTGAATCCATCCTCGCCCGCAGTAGCCACGAGCGTCTTGAAAGCTTGGCTGAGCTCCTCTGGCTCCCATGGACGTAGATCCGAGCCGAACAGCTGCGAGTGCTGCCATCTTCGGGCTAGGACCTTCGGCACAAGGCTTGGACGCTGGCTGAGGGCGTCGTGTAGGATGGAGCGGAGGAGGCCCTCTTGGGACATCCGGGTCTCGGTGCCCGAGTTCCAGAAGTAGAACCGGGCAGTGACCACAGGGAGACCGCCGGACCACCTGTCCAGTGAGCTTGCGCGCTGCTCATTATGCACAATGAACTTCACCAGGGTTGACTTGCCCGATCCCGCCTTCCCGGTGATCCAGTAGAGAGGGTCGCTGTCGCCCTCCAGCCAGGATATGAAGTTGGACCAGTTGCCAGACCGATCATCTTGCTCCTCCTCGGTCGAGAAGACCCATCTGAAGGTGCGCTGGTGCGCCTCGGGGATTCGATGCTCGCGGTCTTGCTGTTCGAGAAACCTCAGCTGTTCCAAGATCTGAGCCTTGAAGAACACGTCCCTCTCTTGGTCGGTCATGGCTTTAAGCCCTCTGAAGAGCTCCCGGGGCACGTCGAGCCTCGCTATTTTGACAGAACAGCTTGTTAGCCGGAGTAGTTGGCGGCCCTCGGTGAGCCAAAAGGGGCTACCATACCGTAAAGACACAAGAAGCGCGGTGTGGATTCCCATGCGATAATCTTCGAGCCTGGTCCGGATCGTACTAATTTTGCCTTCGATCCAGACGATCTTGAGGGCCTGTATCGTGGTCCTCCACACCGTCCTTTTGCCCACGATCTTGAGAGCCTCCAGAGCCCCGAGAAGCTCGGCGGCCACCTCCTCGCAGCCGGTCGCCAGCCTGTCTATCTCGAGATCGCCCGCCGAACGGAACCTTTCTGACCAGTAGGCGCCGTCCCAGCTCCGTTTGGCGTCAGACACCTGCCCGACGAGCCAGATGAGACTGCGGGCGATGGCCTCGATATCGCAGTACTCGACCGTGGCGCCATTGACAGACTGGGCAATCTCGCGACCGGTGCCGACGAGCTTCGCGGTGAAGTCGATGAACTGAAGGGTTCCCGCTCCCAGTCCTACGGCGGTAACTGGATCGAGGGGCATCGTACCCAAAGGGAGCTGTGGCACTGAACTGTGGCAGCGAGATTGGAGTTGCGCGAGAATCTTGGGTGCGACAGGTCAGAACCTCAGTTGGGCTGCCCAAGGTGCATATCGGTTGCAATTATACTCCTCCTCTTTCCCTTTCCCTCGTCCTTCCCCTTTTCTCCTCCCCTATGTACGGCCTATACAGTAAATTAAAGTGTCGCCGAAATGCGGACTTCCCTGCTGCTATCGGTATCGGTGGTTGCGCTGACTGTAAAGGCGATACTAGCGCCGGCACCATACGGAACCGTGCAGGTCCGGGGAAACGTGGCGTGCACGCCCCGGAGCTCCGTCCTCAGAGCGAGCGACACGTCCGCTAGGGTGTACGGATTCCGGAGCCTCGTAGCCTGAAAGCCCTGAGCCAAGTTAGGAAGGGTCCCGTCCTGGAGCTCTTGCAGAATAGCTGCCCAAAACTCCCATCCCGTACCGTCGTCGCTGCTAACGACTCCGCGATCGCCGGCTTTGCGCTTGCCATGCCGATGGTCGTTTCTAGGTTCTGCCGCCGCCACCGCCGCCGTTCTCGCCATACCGCACAGTACCCAAAACTTGGATCCCCCGGTAGACCCTTCGGCAGCATTGCGGGAGGCATCATTGCTAGGGACCCTGACCTCGATGGCGCCTAAGAAGACGTCGGACCACTCGGCGTAAAAGGAGCAGCTGCCAGGGTCCCACAAATGCTGTGGATAGTACGACGAGGCGACGTCCGGGACGTCCGGGTCCCATTTGACGACGCAGGTGGCCGGCCGGCCCCCCCGGCTGGCCGATAAAATGGAGCGCAGGTGCGCTCCGGAAACGAGACAGATCTCGGTAAGGACTTGACGGGACCCGGACCCGCCGAGGTCTAGCGAGTGAGAGGGGCTCACGGGGCAGAACGCGTCGGCCCACCGCATATACCCGTCGGGCACCTGCCCTAAGGGGATGGCGAGGGTCACGTACGCGTCCTGTTTCGCCGGGTCGGGAGCGACCTTGCACTGGAGGTGGAGGAGCTGAAGGCCATTCCCGCCGCCGCTGCCTTCGCCATCGGCGGCGGTGGTGATACAGGCAAAAAATCGAACGCCGGCGCTCGTGATAGTGATGGCGGGGCTCGGGAGAACGTTGCCGGTAAAGCGCTCCACCATCTCGCAGCTCCGAAAGCACGCAGGGTGGAGCGCAAAAGGGGCGGCCTCAATGTACGCGATCCTGGACTCGTGCGAGGCGGCGGTGTCGAGGCCACGATCGTCCGGCCGGGAGACGTCCCAGGCGAAGACAGACAGGTCGCCAGTCTGCTGCAGAACGGCCTGCTGGAGCCGGACAAATGCCTTTTGCCCCTCCCCATAGAGCAGGGGCATGTTGATGTCGAAGATGCCCAGCAGGCAGTAGGCTATATCCTCGACCCGGGTGGTCAGCCTCCGCGCCGCCCAGGACATCCTCTGGGCCACCGCGACGCTGTGCAGGGGGCGGGTGCCGTCGAGAACGGCGGTGCTGATCCCCGTGATACGCGAGAGCACGGGACTGAGGCTGCGCCTGGTCCCCCGCTCGTTCCACCTTTCGTCGACGAATAGCACCGATCCGGGGGCGATGAGCTCCTGTAGGGTCCAGCCTCGGGTGAACCACCGACAGAGGCGGAGCTGGTTCTCGGGGGCTTCGTCGCTCCCCGCCCTCAAGTCCTCGAGATAGGCGACGCAGCATACGGCGCGCTGGTACCAGTCGTACATGGAGTTGATGGACTCCGATAGCTCGGTGCTGCTGCTCTTATCAATGCAGCAGGTGTCGACCCAAGCGTATGGGATGCCATTTCGCCGGGCCCTGGCGCAGATTTCCTTGATCTTCCCGAAGCCCTTTTTCCTCCGAGCCATTTTCGGATTACCCATGTCCTGGTAAGATACCTCGTCTCCGTCGTCGCCCCATGTATGCGACAGAATGAGGTACCTCACGCCAGTCGGGCTGTAGTGGGACTCGAGCCGGTATGACCCGTCACAGTTTATCAGGTACATGATGGGAGGACTGGTGCGATAAAAAATGCAGATGAGTCGGTGGGCCCGTGGGGTCTCGAGATCTCAGAGTAAAGCAAATAAACAAAACGGTTGCGCAGGTAACTTGGTGTATTGGTGTCTGGGTCTAAGAGATCTCCGAGTCCGCCTGCGGCGGAGGCTGCCCTTTTATCCGCGCCGGAGAATGCTCCCCGGCGCAGGGCCTGTGCGGACCGGTGGGGGCAGGTGCACGTGCAGGGATCACGTCGTTGATTACGTAACCCAACTGGTATAATAATACTATTATCGCCCGGAGCCTTGCAGCGCCGTAAAAATCTGCGCAAGGGCGGCGGGATCTCCAAATACGGGGGCATTAATTTGAACCGTATTGGTAGCCTTATTTCCCCTAGCTTCGATAATTAAGGGCCCGTCCCTACGGGATCCCCCGATAGCCGCGCCAATTTGGTAATACCCTTCTATTACGTTTCCAACGGTCATAGGAATATCGCCCGTCAACCGTTGCCGGAGGTCTTTTGCTGCCCGATCCACCTTATCCATGGCGGTAGCTAGCTGTTCGAACGAGGCCGTGCCCGAAATAGATACCAGCCCCTTAACGGCGGACTGGAGCAGCACCAGCGCGTTAGCTACGGGGGGGGTCTGCATGTTCGGGCTAAGCCGGGTCCGGATGACGAGGTCCCGGATAGTGCAGAGTTTCTCATCGTGCCGGCCGAGATCTGCTGCTGCCACTTCGAACGTCGTGCCGGGAGTGATAACGGCGGCGGAGGTGGCATCCTGGCGGCGGTGGCTGTGGCATCGGGTCTTGATCCAGGAAGCGGCCTCGTCAATCAGGCTGACGGCGGAGGCGGCGTCCTGGCGGCGGTGGCGGCGGTGGCGGGCCTTGATCCGGGAGGCGGCCTCGTCCAGTAGGCTGATGGTGGCGGCGGCCTCCGCGGCTATATTGAACGGGTCCTCGCTGCTGACGGTTACAGCGCGGGCGGGAGCAGGGACGGGGATAGGGAAGGGCTTCCGAGCAAACAAACTTCCAAACATGACGGTGTCGGCCGATCTGATCAACTTAGAGATGCGGTGTAGGATGACAAGTAATTACGGGGGGGCGAAAGCGCTGTCGGAGAAGGGTACCGCAATTATTCTCGAGGTCGGCGAGTTTAACAAGCCCAAAACTCGAGCAGCTTATCATCATCGTACGAGGATGAGGTGTCGGTTTCTATCCGAGCGAGCACGCCGCCCAGGCATCAGCAATTTAATACCATTATCGAAGTCACGTGGTTTGCCAAGTGGTCAAGGAGGAGGGGGGGTTTGGAAGGCAGAGGGTCTTACTCGTGCTACGACACGACAGGATCGCTTGACGGTGAGCTCCAGGCTGTCCAACCCAACGCGGCCTTATAAACTAGGTACCTGGGCAGTAAGGACAGGCGACGCGCAAGGACTCGCTCCCCCACTTCGTGAAGAGCGCCAGGGGAGTCTAGCGCCTTCTACTGTCGAGGATGCTGTGGAAAGGGGTGGTTCGTATGCCGTCGTTATCGGCGATGGAGTTTATGTGTGTAGTGCCTGCACCGTCGAAGTCGTGGAAGGATGTTATTGTCGGTGATGGAATTTATGTATGTAGTGGCTGCGACGTCGAGGTCGTGGAGGGATATCATTGTCGGCGACGGAGTTTGTGTATGTAGTGGCTGCGACGATGAGGCCGTGGAACGATGTCGTTGTCGCCAAGGACGTTGTGCAGGCCAGCTGATCCGAGCACACCATGCAGCCCCGCTTCTAGATAGACTAGGGCCCCGCAGCGGTCGTTAGCACCAAGACCGGAGCCTCACCACGGAACGTATCCCGCGGTAGGTCTGGGGAATGCCAACGGATATCGTGTCCAAAGCTTCGAGTCTACTAGTCCACAGCAGAGCACCGGTAGCCCATCGTACCTTACAATATTACCGCTGTCGGGAAACCATTCCCCGGCGTCCTTTGATAATACGCCCTGGACCCAGTCGAGCCAAAAGGGTTGGGTACGCGACTGCTTGTACGGCAAACCGGCCAGCAGCCGGGCTACATCTACCCCGATGGGAGTATTTACTTTTCAATACGGACTCGGATTCTTGATTCTCCCTCACGATTCGAGACGTCCCGCAATATTATCCACTAGCAGTGTTGGCCTGCAGCGTTTCGCTGACTGCTCCGGTAGGCTCAACTTGGGCAAGTCGGGTGTACAAGCCCAAATCTCTTGCTTCGCGTTCCCGAGGTCCCTCATGATGCTTTCGAGCTTCTCCTAATCTCGCCATCCGGACGGGATTTGGCTGACAAAGCCTTGAACACGACCCCCGGCGAATAGTTCCGCCTGGCTTCCACGTCAGGATCTCCATAACATGAATGGACTAAGTCAGTGCACCCCCTGTCCGCCCACCTTTTCCACGCCTTTTCAACAAAAACTCACTGTTTTCATAAAGCATTTAAAAATCATATAAAAATGCTATAAATATAAAGAAAGCGTTTTTATATAGCGAAAAGGGCACGCAAATTATAACGTATTAAAATATATATTTATATATATTTAATAAGTTATAATTTGCGTATAAAAAAACAGTTAAGGTTTCCTAACAAAATATATGTATTTTATAACAATATATATATATATATATATATATTTATTTACCCCTTTCGAGTTATATAGTCCATGGAGAGCTTTACGGATCGGGTTAACTATATGAAGGTAGAAACCGTGCCCCAGCCGACAGCTGTTTGGTAGGGTTGGATGAAAACTCCTTCCTTCAGCAACTCCGCGTCTTCTTCGTAAGTAATGAAGTAACCTTGTAGCTACCTACTGTTAGTAATTAAAAAGGCACGAACACGAGCGTGCATAGGAGGCGCGCCACAACCCACGCGCCACGATCCCAGGTAGCACACTACGATCCGGGTCTTATTTACGAGGTCCATGCAACCGAATTAGCAGCTTCCTATTTCACCTAGTGCTTACAAATTCAATGCATTGGGTTCCACCTTTTCCGGCTAAGGCGTGCCCCTTTGTTTCCAGGCTAGGCGCGCCCCTTCGAGGGCGATCCTTCCCTTTTTTCATTAATTGGTGCCATCATCTTATCAACCGACTCTGTTATCGGGATCGCTTTCGTCGTTATCGGTACCTTTATCCCTTTCCGCGCCCCCGGCGCTACTATTCCGGTAGCCTATCGGATTTATCTCGGCCTGAAATCCTTATTTTTTCGCTTGCCTTGTAAGACTGCGCGTGCACAAGCTGCACGTGCCTTCTGCACGTGCATTTATAAGGTTCGGGGGTAAAGAACCCGCTAACGGGTCGCGAGTAACTTCGCTGGGGTTGTAAGGAGGTCGCACGTATATTTGCCATAAGGCTTGTCGATAATGATAAAGCTTTTTTTTGTTGCTGTGGGTCGCTTCGTTGTGGGGACCAACGTTGGGAAAAACGTCGAGATGGTTTGGGGCTGAATTAAATCGCTTTTACATGCACGAAACAAAAAGCCCGGTGTCCCCAGCAAGATTCGAACCTGCGTCTTCCAAAGAAGACATCCTGGCGCTGAACCACTGCGCTACGAGGACAAGGAGCAAGCATAATAAAAGGAAAAGAACGGTAAAAAAGCAACCTTTTCGAACCCTTCCAGCACTATTTAACCGGCAACGGAAAGTACGATTACTTTTTAAAGCACCATTACCAACCTTTAATAAAGCTATACGTACCCGGATAGTAAAATATGTATGTATTTATACGCTATTATGTTTATGGAAAAAACTTTAGTGCTGCGGCTAAATACATGCAAATGGGGGAAAACCTTTAGGTTGGGCTTAAAAAGGAAAAACCTTATGCTTGCGTTCCCGCCTTTTTGGCGGTGCGCTTCCGTAGCGGTGTTAAACCGCTTTGGCTAACGCTTACTTTTTTTTACGTTCGATTGTTCGTAAAGGCTCCACCCGGGAATTAACCGTTTTTCCGCGTGCAGCCCCTTTTGCAAAAGGCCAATAAGGCCGCGTTTTGTTTGTTTATAATTGGTTGGTTAATTATTTTGTTATGTAATTTGTTAAAATTTGCTAAATTTAATTATTATTGCTTTAGGGTTCGAATTGCCAATTTTATTTTGCTTGCCCAAATAATTTAAAGCATTTGGGGACCTTTCCTTTTCCACCCTTTTTTTATTTTTTTGTTATTTTTTTTTATTGGCCCGTTATCGGCGTTCCTTTATTTAGTGCATTACGTGCGTTATTTTTCTTTTTGTTTATGCTTTAAAAAGCCCCAACCTTTAAGGTACGTACAAGGTAATAACTTTGCCAAGCACGTAAAAAAGGTGCATTTAAAAATCGGATTAATGGTGGTAGCGGACGGGTGCAAGGCGGTAGCGCAAAGGTAAAGGAGGTAAGGGGGGGGTTGCTATCGAAATCGATAAGGTTGTTGTAGTTATTATCGGTTATTTTATCGGCGTTGTTGGTTTTTGGTTGATTTGGCTTATCGGCCTTTATCGGATTTCGATTTTGGCAGGCCAGGGGCTTAAAAACAAAAAGTCCTTTGGTTTCGACGGGATTCGAACCCGTAGTCCTAGCGGGACCGGCTTGGTGCAAAGCCACTGCACCACGAGGCCGATAGTAAAATATAAAAATACCGTTACCTTAACGAAAACGGCTAAGCATTAACTTAATAAAAAAGCGAACGAAAACGTTAATAAAACGGCAACCATTACTAAGCCACTTTTAATAAGCTAACGGTTTAACGGTAAAATAACAATAAAAAACCAGCCACACCAAACCGGAAACCAGCCGTACCCGGAAACACGGCGTGGAAATCGAAAACGCTACGCGCCGGCTTTACGCAACCACACTGGCTAGCCAAACGACCGTTTATATGCGGTGAACATCGAAACCACCTTAAAACAATAACGCTCTTACAAAGCCACATTTCCTATACGTTTTTCCTAAAATCTTTTACATGTTACCATTATACCTTCACTTTACAACCCCCTTTAGCCGAAGGGTACGAAAACGTTTCCTTGCTGGAGCATTTATTAACAATTAAGCGGAGCACAGTAAACGGCGCCAACGGTCCAACACTAATCCAGTACCGGCTCGCAAGCGCAGGGTTTTCCTCTTTAAGCCAAACCCAAGG